CAATAGGAATTCTTGGAATTGATAGATTTACTTCTAAGAATTTGAACAATTTCAATTGGAATAATTAGAATTATTGGAATTATTTCTAGGATTCTATTAATTCCAAAAATTCTAGACACAGAATTGCCAGGGAATGCTGGCCAGGCAAGAATTCCAAGAATTCTAATAATTCTTTTTCTATTAATTCTTTTTTGATTATTCATTTTTTAAAGTAGTTCTAAGAATTTGATAAGTTCCAATTGGAATTATTAGAATTTCTAGAATGAGTTCTAAGAATTAGAATAATTCGAATTGGAATTGATAGAATTCCCAGAATTAATTGAAATATTCGAATCATATTAATTCCAATAATTCTAATTGGAATTCTGAGAATTATTGGAATTATTTTCCAGGAGTTTTAAGAATCGATTCCTTGCCCCCCTGCTCGCACGGATCGTGCTCTAGCCTCCAGGACACGCTCCCCATGTTTCAAAGCAACGCACGTGCAATAATTCTTAGAATTAAGTCTCGGAATTTCAAGAATTCTAATCAATCACTCCATGTTTCTCTCTTGGTCTCGCACACACGCACACACATTTAAACCCGAGGGGGGTCTCTGACTATTCGGGTTGGGCGCTCGCGTCCGCGGCTCGAGTGCGGTGATCGAGTCACACGGCAAATGGCTTCCCTCTAGAACCGAAAACGTACCCGACCATTCCCGTCTTCTTTCCCCACCCTTCCTTCCACAGTTAATAAAACTCAGGGTTTTACAGATAACCGTCTATACCCAAGAAATATTGACCCCATCCAAGAAGCATGATTTCTCTCACTCACTTATCTTTGTCTCATCTCTTTGTCCCTTCACCCGTCACTTTAGGTTGCTAGGAAGTGAGAATGGAGGGTGAAGGGGGTGACAGGTAGGAAATAAAGAGATGGGTGGTAGCAAAGGAATTATTGCCCCGCCTTATGGCATAGCTCCCGGGGGTCCCATCCCTGACCAACTTCGCCTCGTCCGAGACAAGTAGAGAGGGAATCCCATCCCATTCCCTTCTTCTATCCCTACCCGGTCGTCTAAGGAAGGGAAAGAGTGGGCAATGGTCCATTCCTAATCCCACTATCCCCCATCGCTTGCTCTCGCATATCCATTCTTTCTCTCCGTTCATTTACCTAGCATGCGACTCCACGAGCTGACAGGTGGTGGAGAGAGGGAAGCGGACGGTTAGCCCGCAGTCACATGTAGACAAGATGTTGGTGGGTGAAAGAGTTAAAAAGCCCTTGGCTTCGTCATCCTGTTCCCTTTAATCTAATGCAAGTTGATGAGGGAATGGTATGAAGAGACGAAAGGATGAGATGAGATAATGAAAGCGAGCCCCTCTTCCTCCCTCGCCGAAGCAATTGGCAAGGGAAGAGGACAAGGAAGAGCGAGTCCATTCCCTTCGCCCACTCGCTTTCCTACGTCTGGGATAGATAGCGTGAACGCCATCCACAATATTTCCCTAATTAACAAGACAATGCTAGCATATGCTGAATTAACTCCTCATGTTACATAATTATAAACCTAAGAGGGGGCCAGGGGAAAAGTAAAAAAAACCATGCAATTCCTGAAAAATATTCTTCGACACGCAAATCATAAGATTTCGTGAGTAGTAGAACGAAAATATTTAGCACGACAATACTAGACTTCCTTTCTTTTCAGTTGTATCATTAGAATATTTGGCTTTTCTTTTTATTATGGTCTTTTTCTCAGTGTGCAATGTCATCTTTATGCTTGTAACTCCTGTTAACAATCCCATATTCTGAGATCTTATAACAAATCTTTTGTTGTTTCTCTATGAGAAACTTTCCAAAATGTACGACGAGAGAATGGGAAGCCCTTCCAAACTGAGACAATGAACAAGAAGATGTGTTGAAAAGCAACCAAGGATTTCACAGAAAACCGTCTAGACCAATAATTATTGAACACTAACTGTCAAGGAAAAAACGAAACCATCCAAGAGGCATTATGTCCCTCACAAACATTCACTCACTTATCTCTCTCTCTCTCATCGGTTTATCCCTTCACCCGTCACCTTAGGTTGCTAGGAATTGAGACTGGGGGGTGAAGAGGGGGTGACAGGTAACAGATAAAGAGATGAATAGTAGTAAAGGAATTATTGCCCCGCCTCCATTCATATCTTATGGCATAGCTCGGGGATCCCATCCCTGACCAACTTCGCCTTGTCCATGCTTAAGAGGCGAGACAAATAGAGAGGGAAGCGGGGGGGGGGGATCCCATTCCCTTCTTCTATCCCTACCCTTCCTTCCATAGTTGGTAGTCTGTGGGTAAAAGAAGGAAGGGAAAGAGTATGAAGAGAAAGGGGTGGTGTGTGATGGAGAGATGAGAGCGGGCAATGGTTCATTCCTAATCCCACTCTCTCCCGTCTCTCTATCCCATCGCTTTCTCTCGCATATCCACTCTTTCTCTCCGTTCACCTACCTAGCATGCGATTCCGCGAGCTGACAGGTGGTGGAGAGCGGGAAGCGGGGGACGGTTAGCCCGCAGTTAAAAAGCCCTTGACTTCGTCATCCTGTTCCCTTTAATCTAATGCAAGTTGATGAGGGAATAGTATGAAGAGACGAAAGGATAAGATGAGATAATGAAAGCGAGCTCATGTCCCATCTCCTCTTCCCCTCTTCCTCCCTCGCAGAAGCAATTGGCAAGGGAAGAGGACAAGGAAGAGCGAGTCCATTCCCTTCGCTCGCTCGCTTTCCTACGTCTGGGATAGCGGTTAACCTTTGCATTTCCTTTCGCGCGCCATGAAGCCTCTCACTCCGGGGTTAGGGAATTGATGGACATGGTTGGTTCCTCAATTCTCAAGCCGTTTTGTTAATCGTGGAACGAGAATTTTGCGAAATAAATGTCAAGAAATGTAAATCCCTTGTTTTCTTCATCCCCGTTCCTCGCTTTCAAATATCCTAGAAGTGAGAGTGGAAGAGTGAATGGAGGTGGACTGAGGGGATGCAGCTCTGTCTTCTCTTCCCAGCCCTCCCCAACGCTCGCTGTCTCTCCCTCACCTATCCACTGTTGATGGTTGATAGGCTTGGGAGTGGATCGGTGGCGAGGGAGTGAGTGTAAGTGTGTGTGTGTGTGTATCTCTCTCTCTCTCTCTCTTTCTCTCTCTCTCTCCCCCTCTCTCTCTCTCTCTCTCTCTCTCTCTCTCTCTCTCTCTCTCTCTCTCTCTCTCTCTCTCTCTTATCTTGTTCAGCGTCACCCTTTCCACTATCTTGTTACTTGTTGTAAAAAGGGAGATGTGAAGAGGATAGGAAAGGGGTGCGTCTCTCACCATCAAATAGAAATAGAAGGGTGTTAAGGACAATAATATCCTTTCCCATTCCTTTCCATCCAATGCTTTCTCCAGTTCCATCTCACCCAATTTTCAAGATTCCTGAATGGGGTTGGATAAGGAAATGGGAGAGGCTAACCTCATCCCGTTCCTACGTCTGAGATTGCGGTTAAGCTTTTTTTGCTTTCGCACACCACAACCGCATGTCTTAATCAAGGGTTTCATGGCGGGGCAATCCCAAGAGCAAGAGCTTCCTTGATTGGCGGTTGAACTCAGAGAACGATTTGCGAGCGCGCCCTCAACCTTCAGCCTCTCTTTCCTCTCCCCATCCGCCTCAGTCTTCTCTGTGAGGCATGAAGGGGCGGGATGAAGAGAGAGGGTCAAGTCAGGACAAGAGCTGAATGGACAAATGTTCCTAAAAGGTCCCTGCCACATATATATATATATATATGTATACAATGTATAATGTATATGAGGATTACCCAACACCCCCACCCCCCGAGTGGCTTATTGACCAGTCACGATTGTGGAGCACGATTACGTTTATCCCATGTTGTTTTCCTTTTTTTTAATCTCAAAGTGCGTTCTGGCTTTAAATTGGGCGGTGAAATTGACCCCTGCAGCCATTCCAAAAAAGGCCACGCAACCAATTCAAGCTTCATTCCAAGCGCATTTCGGATGCTTAAAATGAGTTCTGGCTGCGGTGCCGCAAAACCATCTCGAGGGCCGGAACTCGTTTTCATCGCGTTTGTTCGAGCTGCTTACCCTCTTACATTTGCACTTAGGCTGTGAAGAAAAATGTGGCAGAAGCATTGTGGCAAGTCATGGCCACGCATCCCCCAGCCGTTGGCAACCCTGTGGCTGCAGGGGCCGTTTGGGCCGAACTCCGCTACGGGGACAGGATGATGCGATCCTTCGTTTCACTCTTGAACATGAATACAGCTTGCGCTTGTTGCCACTTTTTGGCTCTCCACCTCTCAGTCTCGCCGCTGCTTGTGTTTTTTCTCCTTCTTGCTGCTGCTCCCCTTCTCTTCTTCTCCTGCTCCCGCTGCTGCTCTCGCTGCCTGTTCTTCCTCACCCCCCCACTCTGTTCCTTCTCCTCTCTTCCTGCTTGCAGCCCTTCTTCCCTTTCTGGCTTGTTCCACTTTTTGTTTCTCCTGATCCTTCTCCTGCCTCTGAAGTTTCTGTTGCCTTTGTGGCTGCTCTTGCTAAGCGTCCTCACTTCCAATGCTTGCAGCTCCAGCAAGTAATTTGATGCTGGTGAGAGCGGTTTGGGGCAGCAGTGCCGCACCTTTTCTGGAGCTTTGAGGCGAAGGGGCAGCGCTGTCGGAGGTCAAAAATTGCTTTTAGCGTCTTTCGGCCTCCTCAAAGGTTGCCACTGTTGCTGTGCTGTGGAAACGACATGCTGCTTGGGGTGCCGCATCGCCAGGCAGCATGTCCTGTGTGAAAAGTGCTTGCTTTCCCAGTGAAGTTAGGTTACTTCCATTAAAACACATACCTCAAAGTGCGTTGTTTCCCGCAGTGTGTGTATATCCCTGCAACAAACCCCGAGAAACTGCAGCCTGGGGGTAGTGGAAGCCATCTTAGAAGTTTGCTTCGATAGGTAGGATCAGCAAGATATCAAACAGCTGGGATCTTGCAAAACTCTTCCACTGCGTTGGTTCCATGCGTTTCCCCACCGCACCACGCGGCTCTTAGGCACAGCTGCTGCAGGCGGTCCGTGCCCTGATCCCTCCGCTTGCAGAGGCGCCGGGGGTTTCTGACCTGCGCCAAGATGAGTTGGGCCCTTCGGACTGGACATGTTGGAGCGAAATCCATATGGCTACAGGATGGGTTTGGCTGCTGCCGCCTACAAAATTTGCTTGTTCCTATTCGGGCTATATTTGGTAAATCTAAGAGCCGTCCCTTTGAGGATTGACTCAGAAGCCGGACTGGGTAGATGGCTGATTTGGAACTTTGAGAAGGCAACAAACATTTGCCACTTACAGGCACTCCACAAAGTCTTTCCTGGGAGGGATCCCTTTCCGACCTTTTTGCGGGTTGCTCTAAAGGGGCACCGAAGAGCATTCTTGCGCTGATGGCACGTTTACCTGTGGGCTGATACATCTATATCGAATGTCCATCCCTGAGGAGGGCTTCAAGAACAGGGAAACGCATTGCATCCTAGTCCTAGCCAGCCACGAAATCAAACAACAAAAACAAAAAACGTATGAGTATGAGATCGGCGGTGGCGAGCTGAGGGTACGGCTAGCTCACCTGCGCCGAAGATCCCTTAGTTACTTGTTTGCCAATGCAAGTTGGAAGGTGCGGCAACGTGGCGGCTGAGAGTGTCAGGTCAGAGGCTTTATTAGGTCGTGCCCCCAACCATGAGCTGCCAATTTGTTTTTGAAGATTGCACTTGTCTGCTCAACCCATCATCCACTGTCAGTTGGGGGTGAGCCAAGTCCATGTAGTGGTTGAGCCGCAGTGAAGGCTACAGAGGCTGGATTCAGCTCTACGCTGCAGGATGACGCCAATGATGCGGCCCTTTGCTGGAAGGCGCGGGCCTTAGGTTGCCCGGCAACCTGGAAGCAGGAAGCTTGTGACGGAAGGCGTCTAAAGGGCTTCTTGGCCTTTTGCTCCCAACATTCAGTGTCTCATGATCATTTCTGCGTGTGCGTATATTTATATATACATAACACATATATAGCAGCATGTATGTACATGCACACTTGATCTATTGCACAAGTTGTTTGTTCAGCTGTAAACAACACATATGTTTGCATATGTGTTTGCACACATACGTTTGTCTTTCTTTACAGGCCAAGGCGGCGCGGCAGAGCCGGCAAGCGCTGCGGGCGCAGCTGCAGCGCCGGGAGATCCGCGCGGAGCAGCTGCTGGCGCGGAGCTCGGGGGCGAGCGAGGGCCTGGCGGGGGTTTGGGCTGGGTTTAGGATGGGCTTAATGGGGGTCCGGGGGTCCCCAAAGTATTTCCGGTATCGGAAAGATAGTAATTTGCCCATGGCTGATTTTGAAGTCTGTGTCGCACATGTTGTGTCGATGGTGTGCGTTTCACTGACTGGGCACATTGGCTGTGGGTCAAAACCCATGAGATCCCATTTTGGGGTAGGTGCACCACCCATTTTAGAACCGATTTTAGTGGGGATCATTTAAGTTGATTGTTTTGGAGAGCCCCTGCCAAGGTTTGAATCGATTTGTGCAATTGATCAAAGCGGTGCCAAGTAGACTGTTGGCGCCCTGTGGTCTTTGGCCTTGCCATGATGTTGTAGGCTGGTTAACGTGAATCTCTTATAAGTGTGTCAAAGCTTGATCGTTTGCTTGTCTGTGTGTTGGCTGCAAGAGACGCGCGCAGACTGATTCGAATCTGCGGGTCGCATTTTTGCATGTTTTAGGAGCATCCGCAGAGCCTCGTTAAAAAAACAACACAGGGGTGAGGATTTAGAGGGGAAGCTTTGGGGATGGTTCACAAAGGGGCGTCATGACACTGGACATGTTGTCGAAATGTGTTCAACCGACATTCGCATACACTTGGGCTTGATCCATAAAAACCTGCTTGGTTTTGTGGGGGGAACCTGTCTTTTCCCATCTAGCCAACCTGAAAGCGGGGTGAGCGGAGGAGGACGTTCCCCGCCAAACCCCGAGGTGTTCGATTCAAGCCAGGTATTTGCTATAATATGATGCTGTTACCGTGGGTTTTTCATTTCACACGGGACGCTCAGAAGGATGGGGTGGTCCCTTTCCGATGGCAGCCATCATGCTCAGCCAACCCTGAATGATTGGTCCTTTAGAATTTGAGGAGACGATGTTCCTTTCCGAAGTGGGAACTTGTCAGGACAGGGAGTCGAAGCCCGAAACATGTTGGCTTTCCTTTAAATTTAGTTGCTTCTGCTGAGAATCGAACAAGCAAGAAGGCCCTCTATCGCTATTTCAAATGCTGTAAGGCACCTGGGACACACTTAGACCAAAAATTCCCATGGCGTTGTGTTTGCTTTGAGGTAGTTTCCAGTCCGACTAGTACTGGGCTTGGTTATCTTCCTTCGGCGTTGCAGGATCATGTAGTAAACCAGGTTTACAACGAATGATTTGCGGCATAAAGCCCATCTACGGCATGCCTTCTGGACGAAGATGATGCCTTGAGCCTGGCATGTTCTTCAAGTGTGTTAGAATTTATAAGCAGGTTTCAACTATGATCTTACCACATGCTGTGCATGGTGATTGGCGAAGAATTCACATTTTGCATTGGGTATACTGATGAACAAACTGCAACAAGGTCTCATGAACTTTGCTTTCCTGTTCGTTTGAGTCTATTGTTGTATCGCGGGAACGGGCCATGAACAATATAGTGTCTGCGCTGAGGCACACTTTCGTGGCGCAGGCACGTGCAGCTGTGGTCACCAGAAGTGCGGCCTGATCCTCGTTCATTGATTCAGGATACACCTGGTGCTGTATGTTGGTGGTCTTTTGACTAGCAGCCACATAGTTGAATTGTTGGATGTTTGAAGTCGTTGTTAGGAGTCAACACTGCAAGCTGAATTGCATGAGACACAAACAACACTGAGAATCAGCAGTTTCCGGTCAAGGTTGATCTACTGTTCGCAGGCTGCCTTCACACTTCCCAATTTCAAAGCAGATGGTGTGGACGCCAAGCAGTTGAAACGCTTTCAGAAGAGCTGAAGTGTGGGTCAAACTTGCAAGTGCTTGTTTGTTATCAGGGAGATATTGACGGTCGTTGTGAAGCAGCAGATCGCAAGTTGGCTTGCAAGTATCCCGCAGCCATGGTGCTTTGACCATGGCGTGCATGTTTAAGCAAGGTATTTCCATTGAACACCAGTCTCCGCAAATCAACGAGGGGATTGCTTGCAGGCGCAGGTCGCAAGCGCTCGGATCTCTCGGACGATGCGGCTTGGCCAGGAGCATTTGACGATTCCTTTGCTCCTAAGATGTGGCCCTGGGTCAACAGTCCGTACCCCCAGTGAACATCCCAATCCCCACTAAAATAGACTAAAATGGGTGGTGCACCTACCCTAAAATGATACCATTGGTCTTGATCCACAGCCATGTGTAGTGGGAATGCAATTATGCAATGCAGTTGTTTAAGCTCGCTCTTTGCCTCGCGTTGCCAGCCAATCAAAACAGCAACTCATCCAATCCACAGATTCGCAGCCCGATGGAGTGAGGGCCTATGTTGACGCAGGAACCATGTCAGAAATGATTCAAGTCCAACCTGGTCCATGTGTTGTTCTTGTTCTGATGCTTATTTGGGCGAAGTGATTGTTATCCAAGCCATAAGTTATCTTTGCTCTGAGCAATGACAAATACAAATGTTTGACACATGTTCCCACAGTTGTTGTTTGTGTTTGGTGTTGTTTTTTGTGTGTCGCCTTTTGCTGGATTTTTTGACCTCCAGTCAATGTGACCAAGGACAGTGAGGTACCCCGGAAGCGAGTGAGGAGAACCCTGCGCCTTGGCAGAGTCCCTAAGCTGAGGCAAAATCCTCTGGGGGATCCCCCAGAGGCAGATGTGCTTTGGTCTCAGTGTAATGGGTTCAGTGGGTCGATGCATTTAACGTGTCGTATTCTGTTTTTAAAGCATATGCCGATGACGATTGCCGGCAGGGGAGCACGGGCGAAATCCACCGGAATAATTTTGTCTAAAGGGGAGCTCCTTGCTTAATAAGTAGAGCAGGAAGGGGCCACCGTCACTTCAGTCAGCTGTCAAGGCAACTTCCTCCTTGGGTGGTTATAAGTTACATGTGATATACGCCCGTTGCAGCATTGCCATCTAGCTTGAGCATGTAATAATGACCAAGTTGATGCGCCTTGCGTCTTCAGAGCCATGCAGGTTTCTTGGCACGCCTGGCGAATGAGAAGCTGAGCGAGAGAACAGAAGTCTGGCTCGCCCAATCGCTGCAAGGAAGACGTATCCATGACCCATGAGTTATATCTTTGCGCTGGTTGGGTGACTGCATCACGAGTGCTGGACTTGTCAGACGGGTTCAGGACGTTGATTTGTAATTCAGCGGGTTCAAACCCAGAAAGCCATGGACTGCGGAAGTGGTGGCAAGTTAATGCTAGCGGGTGCAAAATAGCTATGCGTTGCCATGCGCAACCCTGGTTGAACTTATCGCCGACAACCAGGTCAAACTTCTTGAGTCATGCTAGCAGTCCATGTGCGGCCATGTGAAGTTATTTAATTTTTGCCGACCTTTTGGCGCAGAAAGGTTGGCCTAATTCGAGGGATGAGCGATGCTTGCTTGGAATGACTCAGACTTCCGCGAAGTCGCGGCCGGCAGCTTGTGAGAATAAACCCGTGAGACTCAGTTGGTCGTCTGGTTTGTCTCAAGCCAAAATTGCCCAACTCTAGTTGGTTGGATTCGGATCGGTTTGCAAGCTGGCGCCTCTTCAAGAAGTGTGACCGATTTAGTTGGTGCAACAGAAGACACGTAGATGTCTCTCTGAGCGCAAGCACAGCAGAGCGTGATCATTGATTGAATTGGCATGCACAAACACCAGCTGAGGTAGCGCCATAGTCACAGCGTATGTCGCAATACGCCGAACATGTCGCAAGACGCCGAGATTGGGGTCCCTTCCCAACGGCCAGCCTTTTGATTTGTTTTGAACTGAGCGATCGAAGCGCCTGAGCCTGGGATTGAGAGTGCCGTTCTGCTCCCACTCTCGCAGTTTCTCAAGCTAGTGCAATTGCACCAGGACCCATGGACGATCACTGGCTCCCCTCGTGCCATGGCTTGACGATTTTTCTACAGTTCATAGAAAAGGATAGAGCAACTCGTCAGATCTCGCCAGCCTGCCAGAGCAGGGCAAACACACACACACACACTGAAACACATCACTCAGCATTCGCGGTTGCTTTTGAGCAGAGCAAATTCATGCATGAATCTTGACGCATAGGGTCATTATGGTCGCGCTTGCCTGGAGTTGTTGTTTTTTGTTTTTGGTCATGCAGAGCGATCCATCGAGCCAAACCGCAACCCCACCAGACTCTGCCAACACGGCAAAACACGAGTAGCAGTAGGCACAATAGCTGTCGGCCAATGACCCGGCCATGCGATCTGTGTGCGCCCTGCGCCGCCCTGAGGGAGGGTTCTTCGGTGTCTCGGAAAACGGAGGGCTGGCAAGCAATTAGCTCGCATTTGGCAAAGACACTGTTTGAAGTGGTCAAGTGTTCTGCGTTTGCGGCCAAGCAGAGAAGTGTTTGTTGCCCGATGGACTGCACCCAAGGCAGCTGGGTTGATAGCAACAAGATCTGGAGAGAGATACGGGCAGCCGAGGAAGCGCAGAAGTGTGAATTGCCTGAAGCCTGCAAGTAGAATGTTGGCAGTTGTGGCCGGCATGTTGTTTTGTTTGAGATGTGCGCTGAATCCAGCGAAACCACCGCCACGGAAACAGACACTTTGGGCAAGAGCACGAAGCAAGCCTGGTGGAGCTTGAATTATGTTGACACACTTGGCGCTGATGAGGTCATGAGTCGAGGTGTAGGTTTTTCGGAGGGACTGGAGGCTCCAATTCAAGAGTAAACATCAGGAGGCCCGAGAGGTCGATAGAGCAAAGCCTACCAAGAAAGACAAGCATGGCCGTATGCTGGCTCTACTTGAGACGGTTGTCCTTAGCCCCCGCTCGAGGGAAACATGGGGTATATAGTCACTAGCCATCACAGGCTATGCATCCCAAGTGTCCCTCAGTGATTCGGGCCCACTTGGAGACTTCAGGCGGCAATTGAGCTAAAAGTCTTGGTTGCAATTGCAACCCAGTCTACAATGGCAGGGCTCAACAGAATTGTGAAGCCATGGCCCTTTGAAGGAGGTGCCAACAATGGTTTCAACATGGTTGAACAGATAGTTCGCCCGATCCCGTCAACTGGTTCGTTTGCAGTGTAAACCTTGAACATCGAGAGTGACACTTTATAACAAAGCTAATTGACGGTGAGCACGTTTATTAACTGAATCAGCTGCCCGCAGTTCTAACATGTGGCTCACGCAGGCTGCGTGTTGTTTGGAGCCTAGCAGTGGCACATGATCGCGTCGGTTGGTGATGAGCGAAAGATCTCAATCCTGCAATCCCTTTCGAACAAAAAGGAAAGGCCCCCCAAAAAAGGCTGGTGGAAACATGTTTTTCATTTGAGGGAGTTTGCAATGTCCAGTATTGCTTTCTTTGTTCGTGGGGTTCGCCAAAGCGAAAAGTGCTCCAGAATGCAATGTGTCACGTCAGCTGGACAAACAGCTAGTCTTGGTCCGGGAAAGCATGTTTTTTGCTTTTTCAATTTGGGGGACTTTTGCAGTTTGGGAGCGAGCCTGTGATGGTCTTAACAGGGACAGCCTCGAAAAGGATTGGCGGACATCAGAGACCTATGTATGCAAGCACAAAGCCCTCCAAACACTAAGAATATCGCACCCAAATTCAGTGTTGATGCTTGAAGCGCTTGAGGATGGCCATTCTTTCGCTTGCCAAGCCTGAGGCCGGTGCTGGCAGTGCTGGTTTGCAGCCAGGAGAGCGACAGCCGGGTTTGTAGTACAACGTCCCAGACCTACAGTGGCTCCCTCGTGCATCGCTCCTTTGCTTTTTGCACGCTGTGCTGATGCTCTTTGGTTCGGCCTTCAACTGTTCTGACCCCTCTTGACAGTGCGTGTTTCCGCAGGTCAAAGACAAACCCAGTTCTGGATGGGACCTTGGGGGATATGTGCTGCTTGAATCCATTCGGGCGATCAATATCACTGCATGGGTCGTGCATATTTGGTGTTTGCAGTTCATTTACTGATTGCACTTTGAGTGCTCTGGGGCGCTCACTCGCTGGAGCCTTCCGCTAGGAGACAGGCTTGTTTTGCGAAAACTATTTCTTCGATGGCGTGGCCGGGGTGCCGAGTGGGCCGAAAAGGTTTGATGCCCGCAGGCAAATCCACCCAGTGGTGCCCATTTCTTTGTTTTTGTTGGGAAGGGCTCTCCTTAAAACAACTCTCTCTCTCTCTGTCTCTTTCTGTGCTCCGGCCTTCAAACAACTACCAAGCAAAATGAAGGAGCCCGTTTCTGCCCATGGCCATGGGGCTTTTGAGATTGTGAAAGGAGACTTGCGCCCTTGCCCCTGACGGAGTCGTTGCACTTATTCCAGGTTGGCAACACTTATTCCAGGTTGACAAATGACAAAATATATTAACAGTCAAATGTTCAATAATCTTCAACTCTTACCAGATGCCTTGGGAAAATATGTGGTGCGGCCCTGGAGATGTTAGACGCTCGCCAACTGAGGAAGAGAGAGAGAGAAAGAAAAAGAGTGAGATTGGACCTGTCTTGGACGCGGAAAGTTGGCAGCACATTGGCTTGTCCAACACAGTAGCCCCTCAGTTCCCAGTATTATCCTATTGGTGTACCAACATCATGGGCATTCGACAGATGCACAGGATACACAGGGCAAGAGGACATTGATTCATCACACTTGATGCAGCTATGATGTACTTTCTGTGAAAAGACTGAGGATGAAAAGAAGGTGGCATTATGTTAAAACACATCAGCCACTCCACACACACGCACACCACATGCACTTACACACTGTTACACTGTACATGTACTTTCTAGCCCAAACTCCTTCCGCAAGGGTATGTTTGTTTCGCACATACTGTCGTGAAATATTAGGATGCTTTCCTTTGGACTTCACTACCCAAGTATATCCATCTCATGTGACGTATGCCACTGAAGCCACTTAGTGTCAAACTTGTGAAAGCACCCCTTCCAGGAGATTTGCATGGACGCTCCTTTAGCCGGGAGGTTCCCAATGTTGAAAAGTCCAACATACTGGTGTCACTTGGAGTGACTCTTGCAAACTCTTCCCAAATGTGTCCAGGCACACTTGCCTTTTTTTCCGGTCTATTCCGTTGCAGAGGTAAATGTAGCATGTTGTCACGTGGCAGGTTGACTTGCGTAGTTCGGAACACCTTTTGCTTCAGCGGATCTCTTGCATAGTCCTATCTTTGCTAAAACAAAAGATCCAAGGGTCCGAGGGTTGGGATTGATGAACTTGCTTCGCATGTGTACTGCCAGATCTGCTCCTCACTGACCACAGGTCTTGTATGATATCGCGGAGTGAGCTACAGACATACGTCCATGCCGCTTTTGGCCGCCTATGAACCGCCAAGCTTTACGATGCCTGCGTGCATTACTTTTTTGTATGACCCATGCTTGGTTCAGCGTTGTTGCCCAGTCAATGCCTACATGCGTTGTGTTTAGAGCAGGAGGTGTAATTTTGGTCAGCAGGCGGCAAATCGAAGCTTCGAGCCTTGATTTCCTGGACACACTTGTATAATTGATAGGGCGCTAGAGTGACTGTTCGCTTTTCAAATGTGATTGTCATAGACATTTACAAGTGCCCCCAATCCACCAAGCTTGATCTCCAATCTTCTTGCTTTCTGGTTGCAAGGACTGGGGTTCGGTGCGGCAAAGCTTCGAGATCTACGCGGACAAGTGATCTCAGATCGGGGGTTGAGCCATTTGGCTGCCCGGCTGGGTGGTGTGGCTGTTTCAAAGTAGAATTGACAAAACTCATGTCGGGTTTGTGTGTTTGTTTCGAATGATAAATGTGGTAGCAGGTTCTGATTCAAGGGGACTTTAAGGATACTGCCTTACGGATGAGCCAGGAATCATGCAAAATTTAATCTGAAGGTTGGACTCTTCATTTTGCATATTGAAAAGAAACGATTTTATGAGGTATTAAATCCAAGTGTTGAAACACTGCTGAACCACCAGAGTTCAACGGGGGTCAGTACTCAATCTACGTACTGTACAGGGTCTTTGAGCAATATAGAATGGTAGGTGGCACTCTTGAGGCAACTCTGACCCCGCCCCACACAATCGACCCACACAATTCCAGTGCCACCTGTTGCAGTAGATACAGTTTTCATTGGTGCTTTTC